CTTATTGAACGCCTTAAGCATGAGTATGCTTGTGTAGGCCCCGGTATCCACCATGATCCAGTGGACGGGGATGCCACAGATGGGGGCCGTGATTATGAGTGCGTCTGAATGCGGATGGTCGAACAAACTCGCATCTTCTAACGTGAAGGTGATAGAGCAAGTACGGGCATTGATCGTCTCCCTGAGGTCCAAGGTCATCACCTGCTTCCCCGAGTAGGCCCTTCGCGCGTAGGCTTTGGCTTGCCTTCTGGAAGACGTCGGCGTATCTTGATTGGTGTTAACTCGGGGAATGGGACTGGAGCGTCCCGACGTTGGCGGTGTTAGGTCGGACCTAAGTTGGGTGTCGTCTTCTCGACTCTTCTTTCCAAGTCGGTCTTGGGGCGAGCCGACGTCAGTTGATCCGAGCACGAAAATCTCTTTGTCTCCTTGCACCCGGAGCCTTTTGAAATTTGACCCCCTTTCATCTCCCTCATCATCATCAGGGATCTCTTGTGTCCTTCGCTTTCCCTTGTTATCGCCGGCCTTAGTGAATTTTCTCACTTGTGGGTTGCTGATGAGTCTCATCAAAGCCGACAACAAACTCAAACATTCGTCCGTGTTATGGCCCGGAGATTGGTGATAATCGCAGTATCTGTCTTTGTCCAGTTGGTTCTCTGGGGTTTTGATTGATCGGGCATCGGGAATGATTCATTTTCCCTTTATTTCTTCATAGATGGCGGCTGCTCCAACCAAGTAAATGGATTGGTATCCTGCCTTCAAATCTTCCTGGTATTGTTTCCGAGCTGCTCGCACCTCGGGATCATTTGGATCTCCCCACCTTGGGTCCGTAGAGGAGGTCTTTTTGGACGAGTTACCAAAAGACTTTTTCTTCTTCTCCGACGTTGGCTTTTGTTCATGGGAGTTGAACGTGAGGTCAGGGACCGACATGCTCTCTTCGACAATCACATGGTTCTGCACTCGGATCAAGAATTCCTGGAACGTGCTGGGCTTGTTTTGACAAAGTGCCCACCTGAACATCGATTTAGGCTTCACCCCGGAGATAGCGCTCACCAGGAGAGTCTCAGGGTGGCATGGTTCCATGTTCTGCACGCGTTCGACGTATTCCTTCAAACTTTCGTCATCCTTTTGGCAATGTTGGTTATCAACTCCTTTGGAATCAGGCAAACTTGTGCCCCGATGAATTGGGAGCGGAAAGCCGACCTGAGTTAGACCCAACGTCGGATGGACTGTGTCGGTAGCGAGTGATACTCATATGGTTGATCAGGGCTAGGTCGTTTAGGCTGTTTTTATTTTCTGCTTTTGTTTGAGTGTCTTTTCTCGAGTCAGTTTGTGTGTTTTTCGAGTATGGATCATGGTGATTTTGAGATTTGTTGAGAATTGTTGATCATGTTGAGGAGATGTGATGATGATCATGACCAGTATACTTTCATGAACTTGATGTGTCGTTTTGTTGGACATTATTTGTCTTGTGAGGTTTGAGCCTTATATTATTTTCTTTGAGGGATATTGTTCGGATTCGTTGTTGATCAGAGCGTTCTTTTAATCTGTTTTGAAATGAAGTGATTAAAGTAGTGAATTGTGAAAATGATTGAGGCATTTCTTTGACATTGCTCATTTTAGCCTTCTTCATTGACCCTTAAAGTTATATGTTAATTAGTAGCCCGTTGAGCCTGAACTGTAATTCTTGTCAACCGAATTGATTGAATTTCTTAGGATTTGACAGTGTATTTGTTATGATGACGGAGCTTCTGTTATATGTTGGAGAAGGTGTATAACTTGTTTGTGTTGCATTTTGGGTGCTTGACTTTTGGGTGCCTGACAAAAAAAAAGAAAAGGGAAAAAATGGGAAATCGTAGGACGGACGAAAAGGATTCTACTCTGCTTACTCGTGAAATTTTTCACGAGTAATGAGTATTGGGAAACCACTCTAGGAAACTTGGATGACCTCTAATGTATAAACCTAGGGAATGACGTCCTTACGTTTCAGTCTTGTTAGGAAAAAGCAGTTTCCCTAAAAATAAAAAATATATAATAATAAAAAAAAAAGAAAAAAAAAGTCGAGTACTTGAAGTGCAATTCAGTTTGAGCATATACGAGTGTTGTATTGAGTCTTGATGGGAATGGTTAGTATCATGTTGATGTTGGATAAGTGGTGAGGTGTTCGTGTTATTTATGTGCTCGAGGGTTTGATTGTTTATTTGAGCCACTCTATCCCTACATTTGTCCTCCCTTTGATGCCCACAATGCAACCTTTAAAGTCCTCTTGATTTACAGTTCATGATCTCTGGTTGTTTTAGGGTATGAATAGATGATAAGCAAGCTTATATTGATGCATGATGATCGACCAATTTGAGCGTCCCAGTTTTATACTAATGAAAGAAACCGAGTGAGGCATATATATATTACATTTCCGTGCTCGAGAGTTTGTTCAAAATGTTGCATTCAAGTGTAATTGAGGTATGCATGATTGGTCATTGGAAGTTTCCTCGGCTACGTTGATTAATCTGAGGCTTGTCTTATTTGAAACTGTTATCCATGCTCGTTTGCTTGTTTTCGTGTCTTTTTTTTCTTTTTGTTCGGGACGAACAAAGATTTTAGTGTGGAGAGTTGTTTGTCCAATTTTTGTTGCATTTTTTGTTTATAGTTTTCCTTTCTTTTTCCCCCACATTTGGTCTTTTAGTTAGCTTTTAGTCCGTTTCGTCGTTTATTGCATGTTTCTCTCTATTTTGGGTTTTTTGGTATTTTTTGGTCATTTTTCGATCATTTATCATCGTTAGTGTGCAGGTTAGAAGACTCAAGGAGATTTTTCTTCCATGATAAATGGACCGGGTGAACACATTTGGATAGAGTGTCTCGTTGGCAACACACGGGAGAAAACGGAACCAAATTCGGAGGTCGGACGAGCGTGTATGAGCCCAAAATGTAAAGTCGTGCGACATAGACCCACGAGGCTCCAGGTGTCACTCCGCGCCTGCCAGCTCCCCGCGCCCATGTCGTGTCGCGTCGCTGCCACGACACGGACAGAGACTCTCGGAGGTCCCAGCGCCACGATGCGCATGCTGCCACGCCGCAATGCCCCATCATGCCGCGCCGCGAGGGTGCAGCGCGCCGCGGTGACTGCTCCTAGCGCGCCGCGTGGTCCTTCTCGCCACGCCATGACCCGTCAATATAAATATCAGATTGGGAGCTCTCTCTCAGATTATTTTTCGCACTCCATAACAGAAAAACCCCTATATTTCCTTCTCTCGTTCTCGTTTTTACATTTTCTTTCATCGTTTTTATCGTGAACAAGGATTTGAACTTGGTTTTCGCTATTTCTTTTGGATTAATCTTGTTTATCGAATTCATCATTCAATTCCATTAATCGTAAGTTTTCTTATCCATGGATATGTTCACTTTGATTATGGTTATTTGTGTTGATTGTTCGACTATGAGTAGCTAATCTTTATGCTAGGGACAAGGGATTGATGTTTTTATTTTGTTTGTGATTGTGGGTGTTCGTTGATTGTTTGTCTTATGAGAGAGTAAATCTTTAATTAGGGTTCTTCAATTATTTAGCTTGAGTTTTGAGAATTGTAGAAGGGTGACACTTCATCTTACAATTGTTTTAGTTGAATTCGATAAATTCGTGCTTGATGATTTTAATTCTTATCGGGCTAGTTGATTAACCACCTTCTAGTTTAAGTTAATCGACTCTTAGAATCAAAAGGGGAGGAGTCGGTCAAAATAAGCTCGCATAAGCTAGGCTTGTTCGTAACTGTATTGCCTAGGAGTTAAATGACTTGTTAATTTGTCGTTCTAGTTTGTTCTCTTGTTACGAAGAGTTATTGAGGATGAATACTTGAACGCGTAGGTTATTCAAATCACTTAACTGAACAATCATTTGCCCATTACTTGCAATTCGAACCAAAACGGAATCCCCGACTCCCTAGCTTCTCAAATCCTACTTGTTCTCGTTGCTGCTTTGATATTTATATTGCTTTATTTAAATTCTCGTAGTAGTTGATAATTAAATGTTTAGGAGTTTTATTTCTCTTCGTGTGATTGAATAAACGTGCATAATATTCCGGCTAACCTTCCTCGTGAGACACGACCCGGTGTTCGAATCTTTTGATTCTACTCCGGAAAATATTTACAACAATCATTTTTTTCAATTATTTATTTATTTATTTAATAGCTTGTTTAATTAGGTTTTTTTCTCTATGATTCTACAAATAGCCATAATTACCACGCAAGTTCAAATTTGAAAATTCGAAAGTCTAGAGCTTCTAAATTTCTGGAAACAACCCTGATCACATAACACCTGTTTAGTCTGTCGGCAAAAATGCATTTTTAGTTCTATTGGTTTAAAGTCATAGCAATTTTATTATCAAGGTTCCAACTGTTTGCTTTTTGGTCATGTAACTTAATATTTTGCTGCAATTTCAGTCAATTTCAGTCATTTGAGGACCGAAATTGCATTAAAAATTAAATTACAGGAGTGAAAATTGCAACAAATTTTTATATTATAAATTGCTAATCAAAAATATGTGAATTTTTGAGAGAAAAAAAAAGAAATACGTGAATTTGAGAGTTCGTTGCAATTTCAGTTCTCAAATGACTAAATTTGCAGTAAAATATTAAATTACATGAGCAAATGGCAAAATGTTGGAATTTTAAGACTAAAATTTATATGATGTTAAACCAATTTTTTTTTTTTTTTTTTTTTTTAACCATAGAAATTATTAGGATTAAAAATGTCATTTTGTCCCACTACCCAAAACTGAGCCAAAGTTTGGACTGCCGCTTGGAACTCGCACGCCGGCGCCACCACCGCCGTCTGCAAACAAGGTGGCGCTCCTACTCCCGCCGCAATTAACAAGACCCACCTGTCACCATAAAGGAATCTTTATTTCTGCTCGCCCTTTTAGCTCATCCCCAGCTTAAGATTCTGCATGATCCTACAAAGCCGTCGAATGGGATTTTTATAAGGAAGCTCAACAAATCAAAGGCCAAAAGGTATGGCGCCATACATGCCCCTTTTCAGGTACTGCACTACTTTCAAATCCCTTACCGCACTCCATGCCCACCTAATCGTCAGGGGACTCCAGAAAGACACTCTCCCGTCGACCAAGCTCATCGAGGCATATTCGCAAATGGGCCGCGTGCAAACTTCGCGGCTGATATTCAACTCATTTACGAACCCAGATTCCTTCATGTGGGGGGTGCTGATCAAGTCCCAAGTATGGAACGGCCTGTTTCGAGAAGCCATTTTTGTGTACCAAGAGATGCTCCAGAGTTTGAGAGCGTTGAACGAGTTCATTTTTCCTTCGGTATTGAGAGCTTGTTCTGCGATTAATGATCTGAGGCAGGGACAAAAAGTCCACGCGAGGATTGTGAAGTCCGGATTCGAGTCGGACTCCATAGTCGAGACGTCGCTGCTCAGTTTGTACGGTGAAACCGGATGTTTGCACAGTGCTCGGAAAGTGTTCGATGAATTGTCGAAAAGAGATGTTGTCTCATGGAGCTCGTTTGTGTCGAACTATGTCCGGAATGGACAGGTGAGTGAAGGACTAGAGATTTTCCGGAAAATGGTGATGGAAGGTGTGGATATAGACTCCGTGACCATGCTTATTGTAGCCGAGGCCTGTGGTGAGCTGGGGTTATCGAGAATCGGGAGGTCGTCTCATGGTTTTGTAGTGAGAAGGAATATTGGATACAATCATGGAGCACTAAAGAGTTCTCTAGTTGCAATGTATGGAAAATTTGGTGACTTGTGCAGTGCTGAAAATGTATTCTATAATGGAGGCGTTTGTCAGGGTGTTGCTTCTTGGACTGCATTGATTTCTAGCTATAATCAAAATGGGTACCATTTAGAGGCATTAGGGACGTTTTGTGAGATGGTTGAGCATGAAGTGGAAATTAATAGTGTGACGCTGATGAACGTTGTGTGTTCTTGCGCTCGATTAGGATGGCTAAGAGGAGGGAAGTCTATTCATGGCTACACCTTAAGGAATAATATCAACCTCGACAGAGATTTTTTGAGGCCGTCATTGATTGATTTGTATGCTAATTGTGGTCAGTTAGGATACAGTCGTTGGGTGTTTGATAATACTATAGACAAGCATGTTGTGTCGTGGAATATTCTCATATCAGGTTATGTCCGGGCTGGCCAGGCAGATGAAGCTTTATCCCTTTTTTCGGAAATGCTAAATCAAGGAATGTTGCCTGATTCCTTTGCCTCGGCTAGTGCTCTATCGGCCTGTGGTCTGATCGGGCTTTCTGGTACGGGAAGTCAAATACATTCCCTTATTACCAAGATAAGCCTCTCGAATGAGTTTATTGACAATGCCTTGATTGACATGTACTCCAAATGTGGATTCATAAATTCGGCAGTCCAAGTTTTTCACGGAGCTGAAAAAATTAGTGTTGTGACATGGAATTCTATGATGTGTGGGTTTACTCAAAACGGGTACTCAAAAGAAGCTCTTATCCTTTTTGACGAGATGTACACTAAAAATCTCGACATGGATGAGGTGACATTTTTGAGTGCGATTCAAGCCTGCTCGAATCTGGGTTTTATCGATAAGGGCAAATGGGTCCACCATAAAGTGATCACTTTTGGCATGAAGAAAGACATGTATATTGATACAGCTCTGGCTAATATGTACGCCCGTTGTGGGGACCTTAAAATGGCTCGGGCAGTGTTTGACAGAATGGCTGAGAGGAGCATTGTTTCGTGGGGTTCCATGTTAGGGAGTTACGCCATGCACGGCCATGTTGATGAGTGTATCTCACTTTTTAATACAATGGTAGAATTAGGCATAAAGCCAAATGACGTTACTTTCATGAATATTCTCTCGGCTTGCAGTCACGCGGGATATGTTGAGAAGGGCAAGTTTTACTTTAACTCGATGGCTGGGGATTTTGGTGTGACACCTAATTTAGAGCATTATGCGTGTTTGGTCGATTTGTTGAGTCGAGCTGGCGATCTTAGTGGCGCGTATGAGGTTATAAGCTTGATGCCTTTTCCGGCAGATGCTAGCGTTTGGGGTGCACTGGTGAATGGGTGCAGGATATATAACAGGATGGACTTTTTGGATGGGATTAGTAAGGATATTTTGAAAATGGATGCAGATGATAACGGGTTCTATACACTCTTGTCTAATGTGTATGCGGAAGGTGGTAAATGGGGTGAGGTTAAGGAGGTGAAATCGAGAATGAGAAGTCGGCATCTGAAGAAAACACCTGGATATAGCATGATTGAGATTGAGTCGAATTTGTAGTTTTGGAGATGAGTGATATTCATATTCACGAATGGGGAAATTTTTATCTACTGCCACTACATTCTTTATTGCCAGTTGGTGACTAATCTCAAGTCTTGACGAGAACTATCAGTTATTTCACAATGCTGAAAACCGATCCAAGAAAATCCTGCTCGGTTTTACCAAGGTGGAAGTGCATGGGGTTTCGTTTTTTATCCTTGCCCACAGAGCACTTCTACATTAGTGTGCGTGTTCATATAGAGTTGGTGTAGCTGTAGCAGTACCCTTAAAGGACTAATCATGATATTAGTTATTTGATACAAAATTGACTCTGTAATATGAAAATATATATCTGCAACCATTGGTGATGCAAAATTTTAGATTTTAATTTGAGTAGCCTGAAGGTTAGTCTGCTCAGAAAATGAGATTAACGACCTTAAAAGTATTTGAATTCTCTTGTTTAGTTCGAAGCCTTTAGTTTTCCCATGTCGAAAACCAGAGACAAAATCTATGCTGGAATCCTCGTTCGTGTAACATCAACTTTTCCTTCAGCTATGGCATCGACTTACAGAGTTTCAGGAAGCCGTAACAAATTCAATTCAGAAATATCTATGTACAGTATACAGTATCAGTGACTCCCCACAATTCAGAGGATAGATGTTCAAAACAGAAACATATATATTAAAAAAATAATTTTAATCTTCAAAAATTGCTGGGAATTTTTCTACTTGAACTTAAGGGTCGACCCTCACACTGACTAACCAGTTGCTGCCCTCTGAGAATACACCTCATCACTACACAAACCAACCCGACTGCACCCAATCTGCTTCTTCAGACCCTTTTTCCTCATCAAACCTCTCAACTCACTTGCCTGGCTCCATCTCCCTTTAGAGGCACTATAATTAGACATAAGCATATAATGGCCAGGATCATCAGGATGACGTTCGAGCATCTTTCTGACAACCCTATCCCCAAGATCGAATCTCGAGTGCAAACTACAGCCATGGAGAAAAGACCCAAGAACAGCACAATCAGGCTCAACTGGCATTTTCTCGATAAACTCCAAGGCTTCCTCAAGATTCCCCGATCGTGCCAGCCAATCCACCATGCATGAGTAGTGCCTTGCCTTGGGCACAAAATCGTATTCTCTGCATAATTTACCAAAATACCCCCAGCCCTCTTTCATCATCCCAGTGTGGCTGTAGGCAGACAAAACCGTGGTGAAAATTATATCAGTGGGCTCAACTTTCTCCTTCAGCATGGTGTTGAGAATTGCAAGGCACTCATTAGGGTTCCCTTGTTTTCCGTACCCATCAATCATTGCACTCCACGTGGCCCCATTTTTCTCTGACATTTCATTGAAGACTTTCCGAGCCGAACACGTGTCCCCACATTTTGCGTATAGATTCAGAATTGCTGTGCCTATGTAGACGCTATTGGAAGCCAAAAATCCTTCTCGGATGGAGTAGGCATGAAGAGAGCATCCCAAGCTGATGTCACCAAGTGAAGCACAAGCAGACAACACAGCCACCACGGTCACCGCGTCGGGTCGGAAGGAGTCCAATCTCATGCGGCCAAACAATCTCAGAGATTTGTGAGCTTGCCGGTTTTGGTAATATCCACTAATGATCGAATTCCAAGCAACCACGTCCTTATATGACATGGACTCGAATAGATTAACAGCATCTTCTATTTTACGACACTTTGCGTACATGTCCACCAGAGCATTCATGACACTATTATCATTCTGTCCAAGTTTAATGCCCAATCCATGAACCAACGAGCCCATGTAATAATTTCCAGACTGCGCACAAGCCGAAAGCACGCTCGATAAAGTTATTGCATTTGGGCACACATTTTTCCAGTTCTTGTCAGTGAACAATAACAGAGCTTGTTCAGAAAAGCCATTCTGTGCATATCCCACAATCATTGTTGTCCAAGAAACAAGATCAACAATTCCAAACTCGTCAAAAAACAACCGGGCATCACAAACAGAACCACATTTGATATACATGTCCACTACCGAAGCAAACAAGCGGGGATTCATCCGAACACCATTCTTGATCACGTTCCCATGCACCCACCTGCCCTGGTGCAAAGACTCCAGCTTTCCACAAGCTGAGATCATACTCCCCAAAGTATATTCGTTACCTTCGACCATGCAATCCCTCATACGGTTGAACAACACTAATGCCTCTCTAGCACAGTTATTCTTCACATAGCCCACGATCATCGAGGTCCAACAAACCACATTTCTGTCCTGTATTTTTTCAAACACCTTACGCGCAGTGCTGATTTCTCCACACTTGGCGTACATGTCGACAAGCCCAGTCAGCACGAAGCTATCCGGGCTCCCCATCTGAACTACATACCCATGCAATTTTCTCCCTTCCACCAAATCCCTCAACTCGGTGCACGCCTTGAGCACGGTCGAGATCACCATATTGTCGAGAACATAGAACCTACTCCTCATGAACCTGTAGAACCCAATAACCTCCAGGTGCAGGTCACTCATGAAGTACCGCCTCATCATCGCCTTGCATAGGTCGAAATCCGGGTTGGGAATTTGATCGAACACCCGCCGGGCGTGCCCTAGGCGCCCGAACGCGCCGTACTGCCACGCTAATTTGGTTTTCAGCAACGAGTCCCGGGCTTCTCCACTTACGATCAGGAGTGCGTGGACCTTCTGCAGACGTGAGAGGGTTCTGCATAGCTTCAAGAGACCGAAAATGGGGTTCTCCGAGATCGACTGGATCGAGTCGATTTCGGGATATGAGGAGGTCGCGAGGGATTTCGAAAATGGCGAGCGAGGGAATTTTGTGCGTGACAGTGAGAAAACGTTCATGGTTTTGGGGTATCATGTCTGCTTATGGGTATGTTTTGGGTTTGTGTGGTGCGAGGTTATCAACATCTCCCGCCATTTCTGGTTTTTCCGCCATTTATTCTCCTACAACGTTAGTTTGCCAATGATGGAGGAGATGGTGAACTGCACAGTGATTGGGCCTGGGCTTAAATTGAGTCGAGGTAAACCAGGGAAACTAAACTGCAAATTTACACATATAGATTCCCCGTAATAAATATTAGTGAAATTTTTAGTCCTCCTATAAGATATACAAATATTTTCAAATTTATCTTTATATGAAAGTGTTTTCAATTATACCTAATGAAGCTAATTTCTTTATGAGATTGCATTAATAGAAGTTACCATATATATTCAACTTACATCCCCTTTTTGTGGACTTGATTAAGAGAGAAAAGAAAAATAATAACTGATTCATTTATTAATTCCTTAATTCACGCAACTTGTACATTGTAATTCAAGCAGCCGCCACGTAGTATATTTTGAGTTTATGTTAGTATATATTCAGTGTATGTTGCAATATTATAATGCACGCAGCCGCCAGGTGATATATTTTGAGTTTATGTTAGTACATATTCAGTATATGTGCAATAAAAAACAAGTCTTCCACAAAAAAGTTATATCTTTTATTTTTTTACTTTTATACATAAAAGTATATAGAAACATATTATAACATTTACTTATATTCCATATACAAACAAATCTTCTAATATGTTGAACATATATTGAACATATACTCCATATACACACAACATATACTGAACAATAAAAAATTATGTCTTTTTTTTTTTATTTTTTACTGGAAATATACGCAAAAATATACCGAAAAAAAAACGAGGACGTGAAATTTTATACCGAAATAATTATGTCTTCTAATATACCGAAATTTTGAGGGGGAATTATTACCTGACATATACTTCGAATATACTAAAAATGTGTAACAGGTGCAGAAAGCCAGTGACAAAGTGTATAGCATAGAAAGAGAAAAGATACTTCGGATAGAGAGAAAAGTTACCTCGGATATACCCACAAGATAACCAGATAACCAGAGAAAAGTTACTTCGGATATACTCGGATATACCCAACATATAACCCAAGAAAAAAAAAGAATTATTAAACAGATAACCAGAGAAAAGTTACTTCGGATATACTTGGATATACCCAACATATACCCAACTCGGTTTTGTAAATATACCTTCGAATTATATACATTTTCAAAGCATATGTGCAAAGGTTACAAATTCTTAAACACCCACAAAATCTCAAAGCTGTTATTATTAAAAGCAAAATCAAATCATACAAGAAAAAAAAAAAGAAAAAAGAAAAAAAGGGGCAAATTCTAGGAAACACGAGACGGATTCTTCTTGTAATCCACTCCATTCCAGATTCATTCGCAAGCATAATAATAGACAGGTTTTATGATTTGCCGGTGAGTTGCTGAGGCAGGGGGACCTTATCTTCAGCGGCGGGTGGCTGGTGGCGGTGAGAGAGGGCGTCGGTCGTGAAAGAAGGGTGTTTGGTAAGCATGAGCGGCCGATCCTTAGCCTCCTCATCATCGTCCAAGTCGTCGTCGTCACTAGGTCCGATTCGGGAACTTTTCTTGTCCCGTGGGCTGCTTGAAAAAAAAAGATGGACAATTTATTATGTATCAAACCATAGGTATTTCGTCGATTCCTAAGAGTCAAGACCAAACTTATGAAGTTGCTTTAGCTTCTTTTTGCGTAATTCCCGATCGCACGATTGTAAATATACCTTCAAACGAGAGTGGGTGGTTTGAACGGGCGGTAGCCTCCGCCATGCTTGGATCTGGATCAGCCTCTTCGTCTTCTTCTTGAACGAAGAAAAAAGAAAAAAAGAAAAAACAGAGAGAGTAAGAGAGAGAAGGAGAAGAAGAGATAGTTGATTGAGAGGAGAGAGAACCGAGAAAACTTGAACGGTTTCTGCATAAAGACGGGGATCGTAGGCGGTGGGGGTGGTTACTTTACCTTTTTGTTTCCACTTTTTTTGGTAAATTGATATTTAATTACAATTAATTATCTCCTTACCATTAATAATATATTAATAACGGTTATGTGTGATTTAGGTAGATTTGATAATTTTTTTGCTTCTTTAGCTAAATTTAAAAATAAGTATAAATAAGGTGGAAAGGTGTAATATGATTTTTAAGATTTAATAAGGGGTGCAATTTCCTCTAAATATTATACATATATGTTCCATATAAATTTTAATGGGATTTTAATGTGATCTTTATTACATATCTATATCTATATCTCTCTATATATATCTATATAATAAGAATAACCATTTACTAAAAATAGTAATAAAAAATGTTGGGAGCATTTAATGCATTTTTTTTTAGAAAATTTTTAAATATATGCATTAGTTCCTTCCATATACATGTTTTTAAATAAGATCAAATCAGATATCGTAAAAAATATTGTTTCTTTTAATAATTTTATTGATATTCATTGTAATAAATTACAAAATTAATTTTATGTGATTCATGCTGATAAAATTTTGGTCAAGATAAATATTACAACATATTTTAAGTTCTGACCATAATATTATTTTTTTTCACAACTGTTCACTTTTTATCCAAATATTTATAGGAAATCGTAACACGTAAGGTAAATTTTTTTCATCCAATTAATAAGGCGAAATCAAGTTGATGAATTAATATTTTGCCAATATAATTTTTTCTTAAGATTTATTTCGTTATATATATAAGATATTTTATTCTTCAAATTAATATAATTTACACAGGTAGCTGGGATATCAGTTGGAAGTGAGAGTTGATACATAATATCATAATATGTGTGAGTTGGTTGAGCAAACCATTTTCATGTAATGATAGATCTAACAAAGATGCACATAAAAATGTATCGGTAACGTAATTAAAAAACAACATTTTAGCCATTTTCTTAACATATCTCTTACAAGTTCACAGTGTTTGTCAGATTCACTAGCAAAATATCTTTAAAATCTACATTACGGCTACACATTGACTTACCACAAGCAGTAGGATAGTAAACATTAGAAAATATGTTTTTTTTTAAAAAAAAATTCTCTAAGTGTTTTTAATTTTTCTAATCATTGACACTAGAGGTGGCATCACAATCTTTATGTTAAGAACTATGGAAAAATTTCTCTAATTAATGAGCTCATTCATTCATTTTCTTAACATTCTATAAGTTGAGTTCCAATGGGTAACGTTAGGTTGGAACTAGCTATCAAAAAAAATATAAAAAAGTTTTTTACCAATTTTATAACTTAAAGACACGTGAATGAGAGATATTAGTAATGTGAGCATTAAGAAATCTTGTATACGCAATTAAACGTTTTGTAATGTAAAACTATCATCTACCCACAATGAGAAGTAATTCCATGTAAAAATTATCTTGTCAATGGTTGGATAAAATGTCACAACAAATATAAATTCTTTGGCTTAAAGCTTCAAAAGTTTGCGCCAAAATTAATTATTTCTCATCCAAAATTTTTTAAATATCACGAGTGAGAGTAGTACCTGGAACCCGAGACGCATATGAGTTTAAAGCCATTTGAGCAAAATTTTATATAAATCAGTACCAGCAAAACCAAAAGAAAGAGATTAAACATAAACAAATTCAACTAGTTTTTTTTCTAAGATATTCATGAGAATATTGAAATAAAGTAGAAGATGTACACGTTCTAGTCGCGGATGTAGTTTTACTCGCGCCCAGGAATTACATTTGGGTCGTGAAAATCTCTATTTCGGGTGAATGATGCGTTCGTATGTGTCTTTGCATCGTTTCTTACCCATCGCCGATTTTGAAAGCATTATTATTCTTGACGTTGAGCGAACAATGGTTGACCCCCGCCATGAAGTGTCGCGTGAATGTGCCAGATTTCAACAGTTGACCCCCGCCGACGGCCGTCCCAGTCCGTTGAGGTTGTTGACCTCCTCCACCTCGAGTAGGATCGAAATCGTCTTCATACGGATGTTCATGGTTCTCCTCGAACTGTAAGCTCTCGTGGATTTCCTCAATAGAATGAAAGATGCGTTGGATGGTCTTGGGCTCAATGTCATCAGGAAGACACAGAACGTCCCGGTATACCATTTGTCTCGACGTCAACAATGGAGGTCTACTCGAACAAGATTCGCCTATATTTTTACGCTTTTGTGGTGGCCAATCACCAAGACGACCACCACGACCACTCGACAATGTATAACATGAAGAATATGTTTTATAAAATATTATGTAAATAATTTATAAAACAAGAACTGAAATAAGAGTGAATTAATAGAATGAAGACCAAATTTATATTAAATCGGACCAATTTTATAGCAAACTGAACAAAAAACTAAAAAAAAAAAAAAACATTAACTTAAAAATGAGTAGAGAAGAATGGAAGAATGTTACAAATGTATGGAAAATCTGATTTTGGGGAAGGGAAGAGGTATTTATCGGAATTTTTTTTTTCCGATTTTTTTTTGGAATTTTTTTAATTAGTTGAACTGTCGGTTCCGGGCGAATCCGTCTTTAATTGAAAAAATAAGAAAATAAAATTTGGCCGTTGGATTTCTAACGGTAAAAGAGATCTAACGGCCCAGATTCAATCTGGTCGTCGGGTCGCCAATGGTTCCAGGCTAGCCCGGTCCGACTCAAAATTATAAAAATTAGAAATTAAAAAAATAACGGGCCGTCTTCAGGCTCGGCTCTAAACTAGCCCAACGGTTCAAAAAATTATAAATAGGTGGCCCGGAACGCGGTCAAACTTCGGGCTCGATTCAGTGCCCGTTGACCACATACTAGTTCCAGGCCAAACCGACGGGCAGGGACCACCATGGTCATGTCTATTTCAACATTGTGTTTGGACAATAGTATCTATTTAACAAGTTTCCTATTAAAAAAATCAGCCACTTTCATTTCATCTAGAGCCGATAACATAGAAAATAAGAAAGGTTATAGATAATATAGTTCAAGTCTCAAAGAATCGAAATGACA